AAATTGGGTGATTCCGGTTATGCCATCAAAGCTGGGTCCAGTTGTGATTTGCTGCTTTTGTTTGTGTGTTTTCGAATTATTATTATGATTATGAGAGTGTTTTCTGTTTTTTGTTGGGTTATAGAGATTTAGGAGCGTGATAATCACGCGCCATGTGTTGAGTGGTTTAGTGGAGACGTCACTATACTCAAGTGTATCTTCCTGAGGTCCTGACAGATGGATAGACTGGATCTTTATTTTGTCTACAAAAGTTTTAAATTTTTATATTATTTGAAAATGCTGTGTCATTAACAATTAGTAACATGCTTAGTTTAGTAATAATAGACTTATCGACATGTGTTTAAACTTAATTCAGAGACTTTGACTTGTGGGTCTTTGTTTTGTATTCTTTTGGGAAACAGCAATGATGATTTTGATAAATATTTCAGCTAATAGAAAACAAAAACTAATTAATTAGGAATATCTAACTAATGCATAAATGCAATACATGTTTTGGTTTAATCCATATTTCAAACTAAAACTGAATGAAGATGCATTCGAATTAGCTTCATGTATATATAAGAACATAAAAGAAATCGGAAATCATTAAATTTGTAAATTTATCAAATATACAATCTTAATTACATAAGAGATGTTTAATACATATCTCTATACAATGAAGAAAAATATATCATTTGTTCGTGCTTTATCGATGAAACGATTTACAGTTGATCAACTTCAAATGAGAGACATTTAAAACTAATTAATCTAATTCTTTCCACCTACTGATAATCGATGACATGTGTCCATTAATAATTCAATATATATATAGATCAGTTATCTTATTATAGTTTACAGATAAATCTAATCATTATATAATTCCCACACTGTATTACACAGCTAATATAGTTAAAGCTTTCAAATTTCAACTCAACAAAACATGGCTTTATCCACTTAATGGTGTGATTAGGAGTACTAAGTAAGTAAGGAAAAACTAATCCCACGCGCGAGAAGGGAATCACCTGTGCCAGGTGCATGGAAGAGCGTGAGAGAGTGCGGGACCCACGAAAGCCCCGTAAAAAAGGAAAAGAGAAAAAGAAAGCACATGTGCTCACATGAGTT